AGGTTTCATTGGTTCCTGTCTGGAAATGGCTATGGCTGGGTGTTTACTGCTTGTGAGGAGTGACAGGTCTGCATACCTTTACTCATGTAGGTAAACAATCTCAATTTGTTCCCTCTTGATTAGTAAGTCGGTGGAATTAATGAGTGTATGAGATTGTAAGATTTCATCCTTGACCAGATTCTGCTGGAACAAATGCCTTTAGAAATTAGCTTGAAGGTAGATACAACTATTACGTAAGAATATTTCCACATGAAATGTCATGACTTACTGAGCTTCATCTTGTATCTATTGCTTCTTTGGATTTAAACATTCAGCTACTCAAGTATAATAACAACCTAAAATTTTACAGTGGAAAGGTGAAATCCAGGAGTTTTGTCCAAACACCAAAATGCTTTTGGTTGGTTGCAAGTCGGATCTGCGCACAGATGTGAGCACACTAGTGGAACTTTCCAATCACAGGCAGACACCCGTGTCCTACGATCAGGTATGTGCCACGTCCTTCATTGTACTTAGGGGTGGAAGATAAGACTCTTTTCTATCACTGTGGCCATCTTTATGAACAACTTCTCCCCCCGTTGACACGAGTGCGTCCTAGAAGTCAGATGCGTGTACTCTAGTTGCTGGAGGTGAACTTGAAAACTTACGAGTAAAGGCAAAGCCTACCCGCAGACTGGATGCAGCAGAAAATCATGCAGCCCCACAGCACGTGCTTTAAGCATCATAAGATTGTAGCCTTATTGATTGCAAAGAGCCTTTTAAGTGAATTGAAAATAAACTTATTGCTTTTCTGGGCCTACAGAGGCCAAAACAGTAACTGAGCTGTGACATGTCCTGCTTATTTACTGATAAATTGGTAACATTTTTTGTTCAAACTTAAGATTTTAATCTCAAACAATTGACTTTAGTATCATGACAAGCATTGCATATAGTGCTTAAAAAACCAATTTCCTGAAAACGTCATCTGTGAAAACACCTTGTAGCTCCCTCTGAAAGTGGCAGCAAATCCAGAAAGCATCTTAATTCTTGGCAGCAGTTCTCTGCTGCTGGGGAAGTGAGAAGTTTGAAGCCAGGCGTCATGGGATAGAGAAACTGAGGTGAAAGGGAAAGGAGTCAGGCCATGGGAGAGCAGGAGGTAGAGAATGGGAAAACTGGGCTCTAAGGTAAACTTCCCCTTATTACTCACATGTGTATCATGCATTGCAGTTGAATCTCGGTTGCGGTTTGAGATACACCCTGCAGGGTGTAAGAGTGAGAATGGTACCTCCAGAAGTAACTTTAGTGTGTATATCCTATGCTATCAAGCAGTTTTTGATGTTTTATCCACAACCTCAGGTTTTCCAAACCAACAGCTCCTAATATGCAATTACTAATAATGTAGCCTCCTACAGCATGTTTAAATTTGAAAATGCAAAGATACCATAAACTATCTTGATTAAAATATAACAGGGAGTATCGTACTGTGATGGCTTATACTGGTTATGGCATTTTTCTACGCTTCACTCAGTGAACATCCCTCTGTCTCACAGTTCTATATGAAACTAAATGCCAGTTTTTTACCTCGGTGTAAAACAATTCAGAAGTGTCCTTAAACCTGCTTGTTGCGGAAGATGTCATCTCTGTTCCAAACTACCACTGTTGCATGTGTATATATTCATGTTGTTCAGCCTCGGAGCTGTTATTTTCCATGCTATTTTTCTTTGAATATTAAACTTAAAAGGAAATACTGTCTGCTACTTATTACACACATGAGTTTGTATATTACATTTTTTACAGTACTTCAGTAAAATCACCGAGTTTCACCTCTTTCCATAGATAGCGATCAAAAATCTACTGACAGGTGGATTTTTCCCCTGGAGTTAAAGATTCACAGCTTTTCTGGTGTCACAGCTTAGCCTGTACCCCTTAGGAACAGCAGTCGGCTGAAGGCAAAGGGCTAAGCCAGAAACTATTACTTGGCAGCCAAAGGGAAAATTGTATGTGTTACAGGGAAGCTCACACTTCAGCAAACTCCCATAATTTCATCTGTACTCTAAGCAAAAGCTTAGACTGAGCAATGGTTGTATCTCTTGTGGTTGCCAAATCCCTGGTGGCATGAAGCAAGCCCAGTGCGCTCCTGTGTTAGTTCTAGGGAAGGGTCCCCTGGGGTCGAGATACACAGCTTATTTTTAAATTCCCTTGCCTTGCTAAGTCGACACGGGATCAAGGAGCTTAGTGGGGTTTTCCCCATTCCTCTTAACTTCATAAGGAAGTGTCGGGAGGATAAAGCCACCTCCAGTATGCTAGCCGGTTTCCAGTCAGCTACACCTGAGCAAACATTTCTGAGGCTCTAAGGTATAGGCTAGGCTTGGTTAGTAAGAGTTGAGATGTTTAACCGTGGGGAGGGCTTGTCCTACAAACTTAATACTCCTTTATCAGCCACTCCCACTTACAGTTGATAAGAAGATGGCTGCATCACTGCAGTGTAAATAGTGCGTACTGAAGACATGGGTCCAAATGGATTAGTGCCATCAGCCTGGCACTGGAGCAAAGAGGAGGGGTTGGACTGACTTATGCCTGTATCTCGGGCAGAAGTGTGAGTGGAATATGTGAGGAGTGGCACATCAAGGATGTGGTTGGATTTTGTAACTTACTAAAAAGATTCATCCCTCAGAAGTAAAATTCCGTTGGAAGAACTCCATTTTTTTCACACAGTGCTGTATTGTCTTCCAGTAGCAAAATCCACAACAGGATAGCAGGGTATCGTCATCCGCCGGAGTCATGTGTTGTTTTCCTTGTGCTGCTGGAACAAATATCCCTGCTTTGACTTTTAATATGCTTAAAAATCAAAAAAGAAGGGCTCGTATAACCACTAATGTCCTTTTTTTTTTCTTTTTTTGCCTGCTCCCTAGCTACAAGCTGATATAACTGTCCCCGACCCAGAAACCCACAGCACATTTCCCTATGAACTTTGCCCCCTTCGTGGAGATGTAACACGGCCCCCGCTCCAGGGCAGGGGCACCCTGGCTAGCCCTTAAGGCAGTCGGAATACATTTTTCTCCTTGGAGACAGCAGGCTTAAATCTGGAAGCTGCCCAGGTCCAGACCTTTCCCAGTGAGCACGTGATTCACGGATGCAAGTTAAGGTGTAAGGGTGAAATTGCTAAATAGGTCCTACTAATACTTCTTGGCTTTCTGCAGTTGTTTGCAGGTCGGAGAGCTTATCTTCTCCCTTCCAATTTGTATTTATCGGCACAGGAGATAATGCTTGGATACTTGTTTAAAGCGTCTTGGAACCAAAGCTCTGTTTATTTTGCAAAATTAGCTGCTGGCTGTAGTGCTGGAGCTTTAGCTTTGGTTTTCACAAAACACTGTGTATGGAAAACAGCGCTGAAAAGTAATTGTATGGTTTGCTTTGGCTCTCTGCGGAAACTTGGTATTGATTGCATGTTCTTTTTTCCCTTAGGGTGCAAATATGGCCAAACAGATTGGAGCAGCTACATATATTGAATGCTCAGCCTTACAGTCAGAAAACAGTGTCAGAGACATTTTTCATGTTGCCACCTTGGCGTGTGTGAATAAAACAAATAAAAATGTTAAACGAAACAAATCGCAGAGGGCAACAAAGCGAATTTCACACATGCCTGGCAGGCCAGAACTTTCCACAGTGGCGACGGACTTGCGAAAGGACAAAGCAAAGAGTTGCACGGTGATGTGAAGGACCTTGATTTTCCTGGAGAAGGAGGAAGAGAGCATCCGGGAGGGGTGGAGGCTCAATGAAGTACACAGCCACATGGTATTTAATGAGGGCTTATGCCAGTGCTTTAATGGAGATTTCGCCTGTTGTGTGAGACTGTACTTAGGAACTGAGCAGCGAGAAGAAATGGCTCTAAACGAGGTGGCATCAGGAAAATGATACATGGAAGAAAATGCCAAAAAAAAAAAAAAGGGAAAATGTTTGAATGTGCTGAAAAAAGAAGGGGTGAATGGGAAAATAACACTGCAAAGAAGAGAGGTGTCATTGACATTGCTTGTTTCTTTTATTAACGCTCTACTCCTGGATGCTACCACTTTGATTTCATTAAAATAATACTCTAATGTTTTTTTTAAAGAAGACATTATTAATATGCCCTCCTCATTAAGGAACTATCCCTGTGACCTTATAGTTGGTTTTCCAAAGGATATGATCTCATTTTTTTTAGTAGCTCATCGTTAAAATGGAGAGTATACCGAGGCCTGTGAGTCACCTAGAGGAAAACACTGTATGTGAGAAGTCTGGAGTTTTGCCTTCCCGAGACGGCAGCGCAATCTACATTTCAGCACGTTGGTAATGAAGAAAACCGTTTGAGATTTCCCAGTATTATAGGTGCCCTCGCACTGTGGAAATAAAACGGATCAAATTGGGGTGTGGGGGCAAACTGCCTG